ACTGAGAAGACTGTCTTCTGCGGAAACACTAGTTATAGGCAAGAATGAAGACAGCTGGGAGAAAAGTTTTGTGCTGTTGAAAAGGAGGCACTGGCTTTTTCCAGGAAACAGAAATCCAGCCCCCAGGGAGTCGAAAAGCACTCAGAATACACGCAGTATTTTGACAAATAAGTTAACAGAAAAGTTTGCATTAGCAAGAAGCTGAAATTCCTGATAAGCATTGTGATTGCTTGTCTTTACCCATGATTTGGAGATCAGCGTGTGAAAAATACGGCAGTAGCAGCCTTGCTGTGGTTGCCTTTATCTTCACTGAGTGCCTGGCAGGTGGTGGTACAGATCAGTGGCCTGCATTAGTTAACGTTTCTTCAGGTCATGTCAGAGCATGTCAGCAGTCAGATACCACAAGATCTGAAAACTAGATGTCCTAACAGCCCCAAATGTTCTTGTAAGGCTGTACTGCTGAACTCCATCCTTCATTGAAACTGTTCACGTAACACAGTTATAATCCATGTAACATGGTTGTAACCTGGAGGAGGCATGGTGTCAAGTTCTTCTGAAACTTACATTCCTGTGCTTCTTAAAGGTGATATGCTAGTGCAATTGTTGCTCTCATGTAAATATTCTTCCAGTGGATGTCCCCCAAATGATGTTAGAAAATACTTTAATTCATCATGTTAAGTTCAGGTAATTTTTTACTTGCCAGAAATGTTTGAGCATTGAAGCTAGTGGTGAAAGTACTGGGAGGAACTCTTCAGGCCAAGCCTGCAGTGTGTTTAGGAAAACAACTATAAAAATTCTGATATCCTATATTGTATGAACTCATTACATGCTTGAATAAACCCCTACTAGATGCTAACAAGCCATGTTAAGTGTAAGAAAGCACATTTCTCATCCTGATTAGGTATTTGTGGTAGCATAACTTTGGGAATATGCCTGCTGTCTGAGAAACTTTTATTTCTGTTGCTCTTAGGACTTCCATGTCACCGCATGTTCACTCAGTTGCTGTATGTGTGACTTGATTCTTTACTGTCCTTAAACCCATCATATACACAGGGTAGAACTTTGATCCCTGTCTGTTTTTAGAGGGATAGTGTGATATACAGTGTGGATATATATATAATAGGCTGGCAGGTGGGATCCACTCGAACATGATGTATCTTTTATAACTTGTCACCAGTTACTTGATTATACTGATCATACAGGTAACTTATGTGATATATGATGCTACAAAAGTTGATGATCTTTTCAGAAAGAGTGCAAAGGTAATTTTGACTGTAACCCTAGATTATAACTAGGTGTCAGCTAGCAGGATTTTTCTTCCCAGTGACAGCCTCTCTTCTTCCTGTTTGTGTGGCAGGCAAGCAATATTCTTAAAAGCTATTGATCAGTATTAGTTCTATTGCTGGTGTAGCAACTTCTATCTAATATTGTTACTGCTTTCTTCAGTTTCAGCACAGCCATATCATCGTGTTTAATCTAGCCAAACTTTACTTCTCTTACAGCATTGATTTGGTAACATTGCTTCAAAAGCCTGTGACAGCTACTCAAGAGACAGAAAGCAACTCGTTTGAGGCTCCCCAGCAGCAGACCTTTGGCCAAGCCCTAGTCTTCACAAATTCTCAGCATAGCAACCAGATGGCATCAGGAACTGGCAATTCCAGTGCTGTAAACTCCTATTCTCCTCAGAGCCTGGTAAAATTATCTTACTCTTTGAGTGCCCTTCATGAGGAAATACTTCGGGTTAAGCAGCTTTTCCAGTACTGGTCACTTCATGAAATGTTTCAGTATTAGTAAAATTCTGTCCCAAATGCTAAAGCAATGGGATTAATAGCCTCTCTCACACATACAAGGTTTTTTTGTTTTTGCCAGGCAGTTGTTTCTTGGTTTACATGAAGTACTTCTATTATTTTTTTTTTTGTGGGGAACAGGCACATTTACTGTATGCTGATTTAGGATTGAGTCCTTGGTTTGTAGTAGAGAGTTCTATGCCAGAGAACTGTGATGTGACATTTCCAAGCACATATCTGACTGCTTTTTGTGGAAACATGACTATTTATGAGTTTTCTATAGTTATGAAAAAGGCTTCCCTTGTTTAATGATTATGAGAGTTAAAATTGGGCACTTGTATCCTTTGAAAATCTGTTGAGCTATTAGTAATTAAATGTTTTCGGGATGTGTGGATTCAAGAAAATCAGTATTGTTGCAATCAGTTTTGAAAGTTTATTAGTGAAAACAAGATCTGGCCATATGTTACGTTTGAATTTTTCATTTGTCATTTATTAGTAATCTAGGGCTGAAGAGGTTTTAGTTGTTGCTAAATAGCAGCTGTAGGCACTGACCTTATTATTATTTTCAAGTTATGTATTAAATCTTTAAGTGTACTTTTCCCTTTTTTTTCCTTGTCTTTTGGTAGTCTGCAGTTCTTTGTTCTGGCTTTGGAGAGCTTGGATCCTCTAAATTGGCAAATTCTACTGGATCCCAAATCTTGGACCAATTGAAATCTCCGGGTTTGGGTCAATTTACCTCTCAACAAAACAATAGTAGCTCTACCACCACTACCACAACTACCACATCGTCTTGGGATCTAAAACCACCTATTACTCAGTCCTCAGTTCTTAGTCAGTTTGGTAAGTGCTTTCCCATAACCTCTCTATTAGTCTGTAAAATTTCTTAATGCCAATGACAGTTTAAAATGGCCTCGATGAAAGGCTTTTAAAAAATGCAATTCTAATAATAAAATTGGTTACAAGGTCCAAGTTAAGCTTATCTGATAGTAGATGTTACAAATATATCACAAACTAAATTTTGATGGACTTACGCCTATCTATAGAGTCTTCAGAAGTTGTACAGCCTTCATGTACTGACATCTTTGATTTGGTGCGCCTGTCTATTTAAGTGAAACTTTGATGTAACTTCATTCTCAGCAAATCCTGGAAGATAGATATTTTAGTCTTTGTGCCTGTGCTGCTTCTAGCTGAATATAACATAACATATTTTGTCTTTTTCCATTTTTTTCTCTTATAACTCTTACATGAGTTTTGAATGAGTACTACATAATTGCTTCATAATGTGCATCATATCTCCTTGTGTGAAGTCTGCATGTGCTCAGAATGATGCAGATTACTCATTTTGTCTTTATATAATTGGATGGATTTTTCATTTAATTTCATTTAATTAAGTACAGTTGGCAGGAACAGTGGTGAACATGATAGGAGGTTGTTCTTTGCAGTTCAGTTTGTAGCAGTGTTCTCTCTAGAAAGAATGATAGTTCTTGTATCTATCTCTTGTATGTGTGCGTTTCCAAATAGGTAAGCAGCCAATTTGATAGCAGTTGTAATCTTTTACATGCAGTAATTCTGAAAAAAATGTTTATATGCATTTCAAGTTGCTTTCTAATGTTCTTTGCTAAGTGAAGAAAAAAAAACAAAACCTCCAGATTGTGGGTGTTGTGTATCTCTTACGGTTGATGGCCAGTGCTCCAAGCTGTTGTTTGGCTTTCACATCTGAAAATTGTGAAAGAGAAGGAAATGGGGAAAAAACTGCTTATGTCCAGTGTGTCCTGACTTTCAGAAAGATGGAGATGGTAGATGAATTCTTCCTGGTGTTGAAAATCTTCACCTTTGTGAGGCAGGAAATCATAACTCATAACACATCTAAATTGCAACTCCAAACACCTCGAAAGTTATCACAGTTTATTAGCACAGTTAATTGCAGTGACAGTGAAGCTTGCTATGTTTGACTAAAATAATCCACAAACTTTTTGATGCTGTTGTGGTTTAACCAGGCTGGCAGCTAAACACGATACAGCCGTTCGCTCCCCCTCCCTCTCTGGGACGGGGGAGAGAAATGGAAAGTGAAGCCCGTGAGTTGAGATAAAGACAGTTTAATAAGACAGGAAAATAATAATAATAATAACAATAATAATAATAATAATACAATGGTGATAATAGTACTACTACTAATAATATGTACAAACAAGTGATGCACAATGCAATTGCTCACCACCCGCTGACCGATGCCCAGCTTGACCCCGAGCAGTCCGGCCCCCTCCCCCCGGCTAGCCACCCCTATATATTGTTTAGCATGACGTCAGATGGGATGGAATACCCCTTGGGCTAGTTTGGGTCACCTGTCCTGGGTCTGTCCCCTCCCAGCTCTTACTGCACCCCCAGCCTGCCTGTTGGCAGGACAGAGGGAAAGGCTGAGATGTCCTTGGCTTGGTATAAGCACTGCTCTGCAACAATTAAAACATCGGGGTGTTATCAGCACTCTTCTCATCCTAAGCCAAAACACAGCATTCCACCAGCTACTAGGAAGAAAATTCTGTTCTAACTGAAACCAGGACAGATGCCTAGTATGTAATATTATGTGGCTATTATTTTTAAAGAAAGCTAAATAATGCTTGATGAAAAGTGTTCATTTAAGATAGGGAGTATCAAATATTGGCATTGTTATTGCAGTGGTAATGTTCTACATGGAACTTGTGTGGTGCACGCACTAGAAAATAATAGCTGTCAAGTGTGTCAATTCACTCAGATTCTTCCATGTAGAGCGGAGTTTAATGATTTAATTTCATTTTTCTTTTTCCAACTGCTGACCAGACTTCAAATCCCAGCCTGAACCATCCCCAGTTCTGAGCCAGCTGACCCAGCGACAGCAGCAACAAACGCAGGCAGTCCCTGTTCCTCCTCCTGGGCTTGAGTCCTTCTCCTCCCAGGTGAAACTCCGAGAGCAATCCCCGGTAGACACCTCTACAGCTGTCAGCAAAATGTTACAGCTGCCCAGTATATCCATGGAGAACCAGACAGTGACTGCCCATCAGACCCAGCAGAAACAGATAAAACCACCAAAACGAAGGATAACTCCAGCATCCAAGGTGGGTAATTTGGTGGTGCCAAGTACTTAATCATTACATATAAGTTTCTAGGGAGAAGAGGGGCAAAGACCATCATATGTTTTCTGTTTATAGAGCAGGGAAATCTAAGCTGGATAGTTCTACAGTCCAAAATACAATGATGTCTTTTCCAAGCACACATCTGATTTGTTCTGTGTGGAAAATGATTGCTGAGTGATTTTGGATTGACTTAAGTGGCCGCAAGTTGAATGTTGGATGAAGGGGGGTGGGCATGGGTGATGGCTGTGTATTGCAAAATACAATGGATGACACTTTCAGCCCCAGATCAGAGCACAGAATCAATAAATGAATTTCAGATTACAAGAATGGAATTAATTTATGTGATGTACACTGGGGCTTTTGACAGATGTAGTTAAGAGGAAAGATTTAGGCAGTAACTGAAGAAGCATGTAGTTATGGGAGGTGAGTGTCAGTCACTGGTACATCTAATACAGATAGTACACAGAAAGGAATTGTCTTTTTTCCCGTTTAAGATTCCTGCTTCTGCAGTGGAGATGCCTGGATCAGCTGATGTGACAGGGTTAAATGTTCAGTTTGGAGCTCTTGAGTTTGGATCAGAGCCTGCACTCCCAGAGTTTGGATCAACTTCAAGCAGTGAGAATACCAGCCAGGCGACCAACAATAGCTTGTACTCAAAATCTGTAAAGTACGTGTGAGTTCCCCTCGTGCCTTCTGAAATGTCCTCTCTAGGGATCAAGTTTATGCAAAATAGTTACAGTGTAATGGGAGGGGGAAATAGGGTGGATTGTAAGGCTGTGTTTTCTGTGGATGGCATGTTAAAAGAAGTCTCTCTTCTAATGACAATCAAAACCTTCTGGACGGGTTGATTTGAAGCTGCAGATGACACAAATGGAAAGAACCTTAAAGCAAGCTACCTTTTATAGAATTGCTTCCTCATGTTTGTCACGATTTTTAAATTTGCCAGAGGGTTTGTTCCTTACAACTTCAGTTTTTCTGCTTTTGTTCTAGTAGAGATGAACCTTGTGCCAGATCTGTGTGTTAGTAGATTGGCACCAGACTGCAGATCTGATGCTCCTATAGAATGAGAAAAGAAGCCAAGCTTTTCAGTCTGCAGAAGCTTTTACTGAAATGCTAAAGCAGGCGATGATAAAGACAAATGTGTCAATAACCCTTTCTCTTCCTTACTATTAACTTTCTACTTTTAGCTTTCAGTAGAAAGCTTCCTGAAGTTTATTCAGAAACACTAGTAAAATTGAACTTATACATTCATTTCTAGTTCCATAAATTCTGTTTTTTAAACTAAACCCTCTGCATGTTTTGTTTTTTTTTTTACTCTTTGCATATTGTGTTAGACTGCTACTCTAATGTTAGATTTCTATTCTAAGAAGACTAGGTGTTTATCATACTCTGGCCTTCATGGATCTAGTTGATTAACAAAGAGGTTATGATCATTAATTTATCCTTTGAGAGGATGGAAATAAGTTGCAAAATTGTTTAAAAAAAAAAAGAAAAAAAGAAAAATTGTATTTACTCATGATTTTTTCTAATATAAATAGTGTAAATTCGACTGTTTCAGTTTAGTAAGTTTTAGATAACTGTGTAGGAGCTGATACTATCACGAAGGTGTTTGATATCTCATTTACCATTGTGGTAAATAACTTTTACTTTTTCCAGTGATCCTTTGAATACCTCTTTGCCAATATCCAATACAGTACAGGAGTCCACCTACACAACCTCTGCCATCACCTCTTCCAGCCTGACCTGCTCATCCCAGAGCACTAGCCCGGTAACAACAACTTCCTCCTATGAACAGACTTCTGTGCATAGTAGGATAGCGTACCAAAGCTCCATGGCTTCATCTGAACCACCCCCTGTTGCAGTTACGGTGAGTGAACTTCAGCAATAAGACCTAGAAAGAGGTAAAATGATCTTACCTGCTTTAGACTCGTATAACCCTGCTATGTCCATGCTTTCAACCAAGTTAAGTGGTTTTTGCAATTCGCAAGCCCACCCTGTTATTTATGCTTTCCTTTCCTATTGTGTAGCCATTTTGGGCTATCCTGTATTTGGGATGAGAGAGCCTCTGATTTTATGGGTCTTGACATCTTAAATGGCTGTCTGACCTTTTTTCTTAGTAACACTTAGTAACACAATATTTCAGTTGAGTTTCCTTCCCCGAAGCTTAGCTTTTATAAAAGGAACTCACTCTCTATATAAATATTAGTCATGGTATTTTGCCATAACTTGACAGCTTCTATCCAAACGCATATAATTCCTTAAATTTATAAGGAATCTATCAAATAGATCTAAAATGGTTTTTGGCCCCTCCAGCATTATTCTTTTGTTGGATTTAAACACCAATAGGAATTAGTATTGTTTCCTTTTAAAAGGGTAGGGTGAGATCTGATCTAGGATAGGTGATCTCTTGGGAGATATTTAAAAGCACCTACTCTTTGTACGTGGAAATTAGGTTTGTTTAAAGAGAATTTATTGAATGTTTAAGGAACTTGTGAGAGTTTGTAAGTTTATTTACTTCTGGCCTTTGTTATGTAATGGCTCAGTCACACTTGTCTTCTGCACTAGCTCGTATGTACTGGTGAGGATCAAGCATAGACTATCCACTTCTGTACTCCAGCGTTATCCAAAAAACAACTGGTGCTTCTCAAGTCTTATCTTTCAATGGAAAAAAATTGGCGTCTGTGTAACTTGGATAGTTAAAATTGTGAGTTGCATTAGATCAAAAGCACAACCATTTCCTATATGTTAATGCAATCCTTTCTTTCATATTGGTGTGAACCTGAAGTTTGTTATATACAGTACATGGGAAGGTCTCCTGATGATGGGTGTAGTATGGGCAGTGTATGGGATTCTGTATGTTCAGGACACCTTGCACTTGAGAACTTTATTATGTGGTTTTGTTAAAGGCAGTAAAAAGCTAATTTTCTTCCTTTTTTCTTTTTCAATTTAGAACAAATATAGAATTTTGCATGAAGCATGTTAAATGTGTGATTCATTTGGAAAATACAATATACTTCTGAGATGATTTATTCATTTCTCATTTGTTTACAGAATGGGCACAGTGGTGTTAGAACACAGGCAGCTCTTGACAGTAAGTTTACAAAGCTTGTATGTGTACAGGACTCTTTCTAATCTTTCATTATAACTTGGTATGCACATGATTGTAGCAATCACATCTGGTTTGAGGTTTTGTATAGTTCTGACTAATTGTTGGCTGATCAATGAGAGTTTATTTTGTACTTGCACAGGATGAACTGCTTGCTTATTGGAGAAAACTGAAATAGGGAAGCAGCTCTACCGAATCTAGATCCAGTGTGTGTAACGCTGAGCAGTCTTAAGCATTAGAAAAGCTGCTTTGCTTCTGCTTTTTTTCCTTTCTGGATTTCTCTACTGCAAATTATTTAACATACAATTCCTTATACATTCTTTCAGCTCTTGTTTGGAAAGTCGTAATTAGAATTTAGTGATAATGAAACAGTCACATTCTTCAAAAGCACCTCTTGCTGGTGTAGGGAATAAGGGTGACTAACATGCTCCCTCTGCTGGGTTGCTTGCTATCTTACAGTAGAGTAACAATAATACATTGTTGGCTCTGTTACTATTCTCTTCATCTTGGCCTTTTTTTTTTTTGTGTGTGTGGTACTTTACTTGTAGCACCCCAGTAGCTCCCTTACCAGAGTCAAAATAATTTATATCTAGTTTTCACTCTTCTTGACTTCTATATTCTGGTTTATGGAAGTTTCCAGCAGCTTGGATTAAAAGCTTTTGGAATTCGAACACTTCAGTTTTAACTCTATCTATCTTTTAAACATCTGAGGTATGTCAGCAGCAGGACAGCTTTTTTTTTTATATATATTTCTGAGTACCAAGAACCTGAGTATTCAGACCTAAGAACTGTTTTGTTAATGCCAAGTTCTGTCTAAGTGAGCATGAGGAAGGGTATATGCCTAAAGAGTTACTTAGTAAAGATTGTAATGTATAGAACAGCTTTTCAAATAGAAAATTTATTTACTCTTACGTATAGAATTCATAATTTTGGAAATTCACTATGGGATTGGTCTTTTTTCTATGAAAAACATCTGAGAATTTCTAATATTTTTAAATTATTGTTCAACGTTTTTATTAGTCCCTTTTTCAATGCTGGTTCCCTTTTACAACATTTTTGTTTTTCCTCTATCTCAGGTCCATAAACCAGAATCAGTCTTCTACTGTGTATCTATTTCATGTGTCCAAACTATTTTGAAGTTCTGTTTTTGTAAACATATGAAAGCACTGACTGTTTTCCTTCTGTATATGCCACTAATATCCTTAGTTGGTCATCTTTCATCTTTCCTACTGCTGCTCTTTAATGTCCAGGCTTTATCCTTCCTAAACATGAGGCTGTTCAGAAGATGCTTGGATTATAATTCTACCGTCCTATTTGTCTTGTGGTTTTCTTTTCGTCTGGCACATCATGTTCAGGCATTGTTAAAATGAAGACCTTTATACTGGGGTTATCTACTTTGATTTCAAGGAGTGAATCCTGACCTAATTGTATTGAGAGTTATAAGTGGTGTTTACTTATTTTTATATGAATGTTTCCAGGATGTATCAGGTGATACAGATTTGTTCTTCATAGCTAGGTTTTTGCCACTTGAATTTCCTTTGTCAGTTACACATATGCTTATGGCCAAAGTCAAGACCTCATAATTTGTTTGCATAGCAGCTGATCCAGCAACCTGGCTTCTCTCATTTAGGGAGAAAACAATTAATGTGAACAGTGATGCTTAACTTCTAAGCAGACTCTTGTTTGGTGAGCATTCTGACTGTCTGACTTCACACACATTCCAAGATAGCAGTGATCCACCAGGTGGTGATCTTCAGTGTTTTATTAAAGCATGGCCCAGCATAAGGCAGGGCTCAACTTTTTCTGAGATTTATTGGTGTGCATGTTTGTCTAATTCTGTGCATTATCCTCCCTCAGAGGGCAAGAGATAGCAGTGTATAGAAACAAATGGAGGAATTGTTCTGTGTCTTGTTTCAGTACAGTGTTCCTTTGGAAAGGTGAATTGGTGGTAAATAAATCCTATTATAAAGCTAAAAAGTAGTAATCATGTTAACCAGCCTTTGTTATCTAGATCAAATAAACTAAGGCTATATTTGTTAACTTGTTGAACATGCTTAATGCTGTGCTCAATTGTGGCATT